TTTGCCCACCCTCTCAAATCAATTTGTTTTGGGTAAAATAAAAATATCTTAAAAGTAGAGGTGTCAAGCCAGCAGGTAGCATGGTAATTAAGGCTCTGGATGGTGGTTAAGGTGCTAGACTCCCACACGGCCAATCATAGTTCAAATCCTGGACCCGGTGGCTTCAAAATCACCAAGTGCATGTATATGCACGGTGCCCCAAATCCCGAGGAGACTGGAGGAGAATTAGTGTGGCCATCCTTCTTGGGGGGATGATTTCCCACTTTCTCTGTCTCTGTTTCTTTCGGGTAAGCACCCACACCCTATGGCAAAACCCTAAAAAAAAAGAAAAAGTAGAGGTGTCTTCAGTGGTGGGACTCATCCTATTTCTTGTCTGGGAGCTGCCTTTCCACTTATTATTTTTCTTCTCTTTTCATCACCAGCAGCCATTAGGTTGTTGGGAAAGTCATGAAAAATTATTTTACCATGTTTTTTATGCAAAAAAAGTCATGACTTTCCCAACAACCCAAGAATATTGATTGAGCGCCCCTTTAAAACACAGTGTTATCAGGTACTAAAGAATCAGTAAAATTATTGGAACCAAAACAGATGGCATAATGTTTACATCACTGGACTCCCATGTACAAAAATTGGGTTTTTTTGGAGAGCTTTTTGCTATAGGATGTGTGCGCTCGCTAGGAAGACAGAGAGAGACAGAGATAGAAAGTGAGAAATCACCCCCCCACCCCCCAGGAGGGATGGTCCACGCTGCAATCGCTTCTCCTCTATCCTCCTCTCAGGATCTTGGGCACGCATGCCCACATGCCTGGCATGAGTTTAAGCCACCAGGTTCGGGATTCAAACCTCGGTCAACTATATGGGAGTCCAGCAACACAGCCATTATGCCACTGCTGGCCCCCCAAAATTAATTTTTAAAAGCCTGGAAAATAGGGACTGTGTGTTAATATCCTGCAGGCTGGAGGACCACACAAATATCTGTTGTCTGTGTCTATTATATGAATTCACTTCTCACAGGAATAACTTGAGGATGAGGGGAGAAAGAGCATCTCAGATTAAATGGGGAGGGACATATATTAAACCTATTTTTCATTAATTTCTCATTTTTTTTCACAGGACACTCTTGATCCCACTATTTCAGATAATTCAGAAATGGTAAGAAACTTTAAGAGACAAAGTTGCCTTTTTGTTTCTTTCTTTCTTTTTTTTTTTTTTTTTTTGCTATTGGAAGAGTGTGCTGGCCAAAGAGATACAGAGTATTTTGTAAAGTATGTTGTAAAAATTGGCAAAAGTAACATTTTAACCACAATGTGAAGACATTGTTAGAGTCCCTTGAGGGCCTTGAAAGGGGCCATTCAGTTAAGGGGCCCTGAAATTTAAACTCCCTTATCTTCAGGTAAACCTACCTCTGGACAACTTAAGTCAGGTACCCACAAGGATAGGAAGCCATTTTCACTGTATATTAGGCACAGACTGAGTCACAGAGACTCAGAGAAAACAGTGCTATGGTGGAACTATTTTACTGGTATGTTTGATATGTAAGGTAAATTTCAAGTAAAAATAAAAATATCTAGAATGTGGGGTGTCAGCCCATGGCATGGCTGGATCCCACATGGCTGACTACCTAGTTTGGTTTTGTTCTGTTATTTATTTGTGCCTTCTTTTAATTTTTTAAATAAACTTCTAGTTCTAGCTTGCTATTTGCTAATATTCCAGTAAGAAATTTTGTATCTGTCTTCATGAGGGATGTGAGTGGATCTTCAAAAAGTTAAGTGATGGGGCGTGGTAGCGCCTGCCCTATGGCAAAAAAAGTTAAGTGAAAATGTGCATTATTAAAAAATGATGGACAAGACCAGCAGATGGCATGATTAGATCTCTGGACTTCCACGGAGTTGACCATGATTCAAACTCAAGCTGGGTGCATGTGCATGCGTGCCCAAAATCCTGAGAATGGAGGAGAAGGGATTGTGGTGTGGCCATGGGAGGGGGGGGGAATTTTCTTTTTCTCTTCTCTGGCGAGTGCACACATACCCTATACCCAAAATCTCTTAAAACAAACAAACAAAAAACTATAGGACCAGCAGGTGGCATGGTAGTTAAGGGCGCTGGATTCCCACGTGGCAGACTACGGTTTGATTCCCAGACCTGGTGGCTTGCTTTCTCACTTTCCCTCTCTCTCTCTATCTCTCTCACTCTGTACTTCTCTGGTCAAATTAAAATACATAAAGTTGAATAAAATAATTGTTTAAAAAAAAACAACTATGAATGGATTTGAAAGTTTTTTTTAATACCAACATAAACTTATACTTTACTTCCATTTTTCCATGAACTTTTTGAGGTACCCTTGTATTTATAGGCTTGTTTTCTTGTAATATGTCACTGCACCCGGCCTTTAGGTGGACCCAGAACTGAACCAAGGCCCTTCATATGGTCCCAGCATAGTGTCTTAACATGTGCCACGATGGCTGGCTCCAACATCTTCCTTTTCTAATTTAATTCCACTGTGATTAGAGAATATACTTTATGTAAGTTAAATTATTTTAAATCTGTTGAAATTTGTTTTATGCCCAGAATATGGTTTATCTTAGTAAATGTACACTTGAAAAGAGTGTATATTCTGTTATTATTGGTTAAATTATTCAAGTCTTCAATATCCCTACTGCTTTTCCTCCTTTATCTATACTACATTCATATTGACTGTCTCCATAACTATTTTATCATTTATTGAAAGAGGAGTATCTAAGATCGTACCATGTATTTCACCTGAATGAGTTTGAATTTTCTGTTCACTTTGCTATGGGGTGTGCATGTTCACCTGCCAGGGGGTAGGAAATAAGAAATGACCCCCAGGCCTTCTCCTCCAGTCTCTTCTCAGGATTTTGGGCACACATATTCACCTGACATGGTTTTTAAGCTACCTGGTCTGGAACTTGATCTACGCAGTTGGCCGTGTGGGATCTAGCTGCCTTAATTTCCATGTCACCTACTGGTCCCAATTTATTTTTTTAATTGTCAGAGGGCATATGCACTTACCAGAGACAGGAGAGGGAGAGAGCACCCCGCAATGAGGTGCAGTCACCCCACAATCCCTTCTCCATCCTATTGGGGTTTGGAGCACCCACCCACACATGCACCCTGTTTTTCAAGCCACTAGGGCAGGAATTCAAACCACAGTCAGCCCTGTGGGATCCAGCTCCTTTCTGCCCTTTTCTTTCTATCCATTTATTTGGTTATTTTTAATTGCCAGAGAGTACGTATGCTTGCTGGAGACAGACAGACACAGGGAGAGAGAAACCATCCCCACGTGGAGTGTGGTCACTCCTCAGTTCCCGTCTCCATCTCTCCATCCTGTCAGGATTCCGAGCAAATGTGTGTGCAGCGTGGTTTTCCAGATGCCCAGGCTGGGCTTAAAGCCCCTGGGTCTTGACTTTTTATACAATCTGACAATCTCTGCCTTTTAATTGGGGCGTTCAGACCATACACATTGAATGTGATTATTGATCTGTTTGAGTTTAAATCTATCACCTTGCTACTACTATGAAGGTTTCTTTTTTTTTAATAATTATTTTATTTTTATTTATTCATTCATTTTTTTTTTTTTAATTTGACCAGAGAGAGACAGAGGTTGAGAGTGAGAGAGAGAGGAATTGAGAAAGCAAGCCACCAGATTTAGGACTTGAACCCTGGTCAGCCATGTGGGAGCATCCAGCGCCTTGATCACCACGCTACCTGCTGGTCTCGTACTATGAAGGTTTCTAATGACTTCACTTCGTTTTCTTTGTTGGCTTATTAGCTGAGTCTTTTTCTTATTTTAGGACATAAATATTTGTCTTAGAGATGTCAAGTTGAGTCTTCCAGTTCACATAATGAAGATCAGACCACCTAAACCAGTTACAGGTAAATATAGTTTAACTAATATTCTCTTTGCTTTTGCTATTGGTTCTCCATTTTTTTTTTCCTTCTGCGCCTTTCTCCACATTTCCCATCTTTTCTATTTATTAGCAACAGTACCTAAATTACAAGTACAGTTCTGAGAGAAAGAAATTTAACACTTATAAGTTCTGGGACCTAAAAACGTTTCCTGCACCCTGCGGAGGGTGCTTCTCTCTCTGTCACACACGCTCTCACTTACAGGTACACACACTCTTATCGTGAATAAAGGGAAAAAATTAAAATGTACTAAAATACAAAATTAATAGGGAAATGCAAAAGGCCAAGAATAGCTAATCTACTCCTGTAAAAGAATGTGTTGAGGGGCCAGCAGGTGGCAGGTTGGTTGAGACACCGGTCTCCCATATGGTTGACTATGGTTTGAGTCCCGGACCTAGCGGCTTGCTTTCTCACCTTCCTTCTCTCTCTCTCTCTCTCTCTGCCTCTCTCTGGTCAGATTAAAAAATAATAATAAATAAAACTTAATAAATATATCTTTTTAAAAAAGAATATGGTGATAGGGCTTGGTTTATCAAGACATGTTACAAAGCTGCAGTGGTTAAGATAAACACAGATGAGCAAATAATAAAAATATAGGTAGATAGAAATTGCAAGTATTAGGATAGATGAACGAAACAAGGTTGAGAGGCCAGGACAGACCCAGGTATAAAGGGATACTTGATGGATGACAGAGGTATCACTACTGAGCAGAGGCCGAAGGACGGTCCTTACGTGGTGCTGGTTGTCCATGAGGACAGAAAGCACAACCTGATCCCTTTGTTATACCATGCACTAAACTAGATTCTAGATGAAACGTAACAGTGAATATGAAAGGCAAAACAGTAAAGCTTTTAGAATATGAACAATATCTTAATTACCTTTGGTAGGAAGAGGATGGGACTGCCAAATTATGTGGCTCTTCGGCAGCGGCTGAAAAGTGACGGACACGGCAGGTCTGGGCCCTTGCTTAGCCGGGGAGACAGCAGCAGTGACTTAGGTCTCTAGCAGCAGCATGAGCATTTCCCTGGCCTCCTCTGCAGGGGTTCTGTAGGCCAGAAGCAGAGGGAGTGACGCTGGGAGGGAGATGCAGGAGGAAAGAGAATCGCTCTGCCTGGGCGCTCAGACCAGCTACAGAGCAAGAACCGACTGCTGAGGATGATGGGCGCATGGAGGAAGGAGGGGAGATCAGCAAAGGGGGAGTCCAGGGGTTAGCTCATCTGGAATGTTTCTGATCTAGGCACCTTATTTAAAAGCCCTTTGGAAGTCTTCGCGAAGATAGAGGACTGCTACGGGCTGGGCTCCGGGCAGAATCACTTCATTAAGGACACTCAGTGGGAGCAGCAAGTGGAGATCTTCAAGGCGTCCTACAAGAAGTACCTGGACGAGGAATGGGAAGAGGAGCCGCTCAGGTGAGCCGGAACCAGGCCCAGCTATAGCTCCCCAAAGCTCTGGTGTCTTGGCACCTACAGAATCAGCACAAGGACCAGAGTGGGACAGAGAGAGAGAGAGAGAGAGAGAGAGAGAGAGAGAGAGAGAGTGTGCAAGCTGCCAGGTCTGGGACTCAAACCACAGTCGGCCATGTGGGAGTCCAGTGCCCTTAACCAGCACATCACCTACCGACCCCCTGGTGTGATTTTCAAGCTGCCAGGTTGAGAACTTGAACCAGGCAGTTGGCGATGTGTGATCCAGTGCCTTAACCTCTATGCCACCTGCCGGCCTCACAAATCAGTGCTTTTTAAAGAAAAGCCCTTTTTGGGGCTGGTAGGTGGCGTGGTGGTTAAGGGTGCTGGACTCCCACATGGCCGACCACTATTTGAGTCCCAGACCTGGTGGTGGCTTGCTTTCTTACTTTCCCACTCTCTCTCTCTTTCTCTGGTCAAATAAAAACATTAAAAATAAGTAAATAAATAAAATAAAATAATAATAATGATTTTTTTTTAAAAGACCCATTTTATCAGCACATCCCTGGATGTATTGCCCTGCAGGATAAGAGCGCATTTATGCACATCACCTAAGTGTCCCAAAAGGTGCATCTTCTGGGGGAGTTCTTCCCTGCCTCATGTGACCTGGGAGCAAGTCCCAGCCTCCCGGCCCTCACTGAGGTCCAAGGTCTGCACACCCACTGGGATAAGCACCTGTTGTGTGATCTGCCTCGTGGCCCTGTACCCCCAGGGGCTCCATCCTAACTACGCCTTTTTTTTTTTTCAAGAGGTTTTTGCTATAGGGCACGTGCATTCGCCAGACAGACAGAGAGAGACATAGAGACAGAAAGCGAGAAATCACCCCCCAGGGGGGATGGTCACACTGCAATCCCTTCTCCTCCATTCTCCTCTTGGGATCTTGGGCACGCATGCACATGTGCCGGGAGTGAGTCTTTTAAGCCACCGGGTCCGGGACGCAAACCGCGGTCGACTACATGGGAGTCCAGCGACATAGCCATTACGCTAACTGCTGGTTCCCATAACTACGCCTTTTTTTAAAAATAAATTTTTGAGATGTTTTTGCTATAGGGTGCATGCACTCGCCAGAAAGACAGAGAGAGACTGAGAGATGGAAAGTGAGAAATCACCCCCCAGGGGGGATGGCCACACTGCAATCCCTTCTCCTCCATTCTCCTCTCAGGATCTTGGGCACACACGCACATGTGCCTGGCGTGAGCTTAAGCCACCAGGTCGGGGACTTAAACCACAGTCGACTACACGGGAGTCCAGCGACACAGCCATTACGCTAACTGCTGGTCCCAAAATTTTTTTTTTTTAATTTAACTTTATTTATTTTAATTTGACCAGAGAGAGAGAAAGTGAGAAAGCAAGCCCTGACCAGGTCCAGGACACGAACCGCTGTCAGCCACGTGGGAATCCAGCACCCTTCACCACTATGCCACCTGTCAGCCCCCCTAACTAGTCACTTCTGGTCTTGGCACCACACTCTGCCAGCATCTCTCCTTGCCAAGGAATGTGCAGGGCCCTGACTCATATTCTTCCTTTCCCAGTATGGCCACCTTCTACTTCCTCCTTCCTAGTCGCATGCTCGGTCTGCCAGCGGAAGTCAAGAGCCCTTCAGGTAAAGGACTATGAAGTAAGTGGTTGTCACAGGCAGGGGTGGCTTTGGGGAATCCCTCCACAAACCATCCTAGAGACAGTCCATGTGGCAAACTTTCCCTGGAGAAGGAATGAAGACAGAAATGAGGTTGCCAGCTGTAGCTTAAGAATGTCAGGACCTGTGGCCTGAGCCCAGATTCCCTGATAACGGAGGAGGTGCTGCCGTCAGGGAGTGACGATCAGAGGACAGTGTGAGCACGCATAGCCAGGCTGCTCCTGGAGGTGACCTCATCTTGTCGAATATGCTATGTAAGGGTTGGCTCCGTGGCCTAGAAGTTAAGGCAGCCAGATCCCCCATGCCGACCATCCCATCTGAGTCCTGGACCCAGCCACCTGAGACACACACTGGGCATGCGTGTGTGCATGCCCTAAATCCCAAGAGGATGGAGAAATGAAGAGGAAAGGATTGTGGTGTGGCCATTCCCCATGGGGGTGTTCTCTGTTTCCCCTCGCTCTCTGCTGAGCACACGCATTCTCTAGCAAATTAAAAATTAATAAATAGGGGCCAGCAGATGATGTAGTGGTTATGTCATTGGACTCCCACAGGGCTGACTGCGGTGTGAGTCCCAGACCTGGTGGCTTGAAAATCATGCCAGGTGCATGTGTGTGCATGCCCAAGATCCCAGGAGGAGAATGGAGGAGAAGGGATCATGGCATGGCCATCCCCCCGGGTGGTGACTTCCTTCTATCCCTCTCACTATCTCTGTCTCTGTCTGCACCCTAAGGAAAACAAACAAACAAACAAACAAACAAACAAAAACCTCTAAAAAAATAGAAAAAAAGACAAATAAATAAGAAAATGTTCTTTAAAACACTAAAAGCCAAACAGATGTGAATTTTCTAGAAGACATAAAAACAGCCAAAGGAGAGTTGTGACCTCCTCCCTGCCCAGGAAGGCACATGGGTCCCCTAGGAACAGCTCTCATGGGGTGCCCAGCCCCTCTTCCCCTGGAAGCTCACCCTTCTGTGGGATGCTCCCCCCTAGAACAAACCACTTCAGACTTTAGATCACCTTCCTCTTGGGCAAAGAACTTCTGTGTAAACCAAAGGCCACGCAGACCTCTTACACAATGCCCTTCTCCTCTCTCTCCCAGGGGCAGCCTGTGTCCTTGGCATACACTGGACTGGAAGTCACAATTTCTTTCTCTACTCACCGAGTCGAACTCTGAAGGATAAAGCTGGTACTTTTCGGCTGAGATGGGAATTGCCTCATCTCAGAGCTCCCAGTACATGCCCACCCCCAGCTTCGCTGAGAGTGTGCGACCGACCCATCGGTGTCATTTTTGGGGACCAGAGCTAGGCAGACAGGCAGCAGTCCATAGATCAGTGGAGACAAAGCCCAGAGTCAGGTCCCCAGGGCAGTGAGGATAAGAGAGGGGCTGGGCACCAAAAGGCTGTGCTAGTTCTAGCCCAGCTGTCTGCACACCAAGTGGCCTCAGGCCAGTCCTTTCAGGCCTAGCCCTGTTTTCTCATTTCAGAGGCAGAGCTACCTGAGTACAGGAGTGCTAGCTACTGCGCGCACTTGTTGTAAGTAGGCACATCCAGAGCTTCCATGCATGAAAGCTCTTCGACTTTGCAAAACGCTAAAGAAATACAGGCGACGTCATTTTACAGATCACGGAGGCAGTTACACAAGCAAGCTCGCCGTGTCGTCGTCCCTCGAATGACACGCTTTCATTTATTTATCAATAGTATATACTTCAAAGGTAATGTTTACAGAACCCACAGAGGAGGAATGTCTCCTTCCATCCCTCTCCCAGACAGCCTGGCTTCTAACCCTTCTGGACTGACTGGCTGTGTGGCCTGGGGCAAGTCCCTCCCTCTGCTGCCTCATCTCTCACCTGTAAATGACGGTGCTAATAGGACTATGTCATAGAACCCGTGGGGAGATTAAACAGAATGATGCACACGAAGTGCCTGGCACCTAGGAAGTACCCTTCAACGTTAGCTGTGGGGTAACCGTAGCATGACTTAGTACAGCACCCAAAGGAAGGGCACTGCACCACAGAGAAACGAGCCCAGACAGGTGTCCCGGTGCCCACCTGTGGACAGGCAGCCAGCGTAGGTCTTGGGTGCCAAGGGGGAGGGATAGGCAGCTGCACAGTCTGGCAGGAGCCTGTGAGTGCTGTCCTCCCCACTAGACCCTGAGGGTGTGTGGCCCTGTGCTGCACCCATTACAGTCTCCCAGCTCTGCTCCTCCTCCTCCTACCTGGTGCTGGCCTGCGAGGACGGTGTGCTCACGCTGTGGGACCTGGCCGAAGGTGAGCGCCCTGCCTCTCTACCTAGCACCTGGGTGGGTCCCTGGGAGATGAGGCTTCAGGAGCTTTGGCATGCCTGCAGGCTCGAGGCCTTCTGTTACCGCTGTGTCCTTCAAGCCACCCTGGGGAGCTGGTCCTGCTTTCCCCACACACATCCATTCAGCCAACATTTATCATACAGTGTGTGCTAGCCGCTCCCACTGCTCACATATGTAGTGAGTGCTTGCTCTGTTCCGGCCCTGCACCAGGTGGCAGAGGTACGGCCACTGCCTTCACTCTCACGCTCCAGCACAGTCGGGAGACCATGGCGGCCTGGCCCTGCTCTCCCCACTCCCCCACCTCCACCCGAGTCAGCAGGAGCTCTGCTGGTACTGGAGCTCAGGGACCTAGAACGTGGGCAAAGTGAGACCAGAAACTATTCTCAGTGGGCTGTGCCCTGGTGGAGTCCCAGGTCCTGGGGCCAGCTTTGCAGGCCCCAGGAGCAATGGCATCTGCTTTCCCTAAATTGGCCATCTGGGCACTAGGCTTACTAGCTCCACCCTAAGAGGCCATGCATTGCTTGCTCTTCAACCTCACACCCTGCAAATCCCCCACATACTTACTGGCCACAGATGCTGCATCATGCTTGC